CCTTCAGTTCTCTTCCTTGAAAAAGAAGTGAAAGGAAATCAACACTTTGCAGAAATAACTCTGAAATTTCCCAAGATCTATCAGGTTCCCCAAGATGAGCTCTCACTGATCCATCCGTGAGAGTAGGCTGTGACGTTCAAGCTGAAACTTGTTTCTGAGAGAGGTGAATTGAATGTCAGCCTGTCCCACAGGGGACCCTTTCCACACGATTAATAATCATTAATAACTACGGAAGAGGATCTCAGATGTAAAAGTGTAGTGTATACAACCTTGTTTCCCCTTTGCTGATCAGTCTCAAAGGTCCTGAAATTTTATCTTTTTCCTTCAAGGAATTGCACAGAGGAAAGAACGGGAGCTTTTCCCCTTGCTTGTCTCCCCCAAGAACAGACAGGGCTGTGCTGTTCTGGATGGGAGGGTCCTCAGGACTCCCACCTAGACATGGCAGTAAAAACTTTCCCTCAAATCTCTAAATTCTCCCATCTGGCTCTGTAAATTAGAAAGGCCCGCTCTCCCTTCGCTTGGCTTAGAGAATTGCCCCCATGTTAGATTAATATCCAGAAATCGTCTCTGCTCTGCTGTAGCAGAAGGTACATGATGAGTCCCAGATGTTTCTGCAAGACCGTCATTCCCAGAAATAATAGATTGTATCAGGAAAACCAATGAAAGAATTGTATACTTTTTGTTCCTCCTTCCCTCGTCGTTCCTTTCCCACTTCTTCCTCCTTCCTTCCTTTTCCCCCCCATTTCCTCTTGTCCTTCCTCCTTCCTTCTTTTTTCTCTTCCTCTTCTTCTCTTCTTTATCTCCTGTTCTTATTCTTCCCCACCCTCTCTTTTGTCTCTATCTGTCTGCCTCTCTGTGTGAGTGACAAAGTGGTCAAGACTGGGAATTCGGGCCACAAACTCATATCTGCCCAGTGCCAAGCACATGTGTGGTGGCGACTGGCCGGAAGGCCTGCTAGAATTGCTAGCCTGGCTGATTGCAGGCTCTCCAAAATTCCTCATTGCCTGACCAGGCTGGGAAGAGACTCACACGGTGGACGTGGGCTTCAGTACCCTCTGCCTGTGTCTCTGTGACTTTGGGTCCCACCAGTCTCCTTTCTTCAAGGGAAGACCGAGAATGGGGCAGGGGGCTCTCCCAGGCCCTCCTGCAGTCACGGATTTAGGAAATCCTTCTCCCTGCCTTTCTCATCCCCTCTCAATCCTCATTCCCCTGGGGCATGCTGGAGGAACATTCTCTCTCTCTCTCTCTCTCTCTCTCTCTCTCTCTCTCTCTCTCTCTCTCTCTCTCTCTCTCTCTTACACACACACACACACACACACACACACACACACACACACTCCATGGCATTTCCTGGGGGAGGTCAAGAGCAGAGAGGAGAAGCCAAATGGTGCTCCTGCCCTCTGTTTCATGTGAGGAAGCTGCACAGACGCTGCTCTCCCCTCAGACAGAATGTGCATGAGGGGACAGGGCCTTTCTCAGCCAGAGCTGTGTGTGAATCGGAACACCAAGAGAGATGCCTTAGAAGGACCCTGCTGGCCCTTCTCTTACAGCTCATGATTGAGCCAGTCTTGAGGCAGAAGAGGAGACTTTGACTGTCCTGCACAGACAAATAAGCAGCTGTTCTGAGCTCATGATGGAGCCAGTTTCATGTCGGCTCCAACTGGTCGCAGTTCCCTGAAGAGTGACCTGGGCCCTGCCACCAGCTTGGTCCCACCAGCAGAAGCTCTGAGGCACCCAACTCCTAATTCCTGCTCCCACTAGCTTGATCCCAGAAGTGGTTGACATCCTTTCTATTTGGTGAAGAGGACCTTTGGTTTGGGGGGTCAGTTGTGACAGCCAAGGTCATGCTGGGCCTGAACAGTGGAGTCGGTCAGTCTCACCTCAAAAGCCAGAGTTCTTGGAGTCACCAAGCTGTCTCATGGGCTCTAGAACTGCAGAAAGCCTCTCATTTGCTCTTTGGATTATGACTTACAAAGTTGCAAGTTATGAGAATTCCAGTCCCACAGTCTCTGGTAGGGAGCAAGCCTGTCCAGACTCATAAAGGATGAGGACAAACGTGGCCGCAGATGACCCCAATGTAGCTTCCATAAAATGGCTTCAGAGAAGAACCAATGTCACGATATGCCAGCCGCACCTCTGGGATGCCAGCCCACCACAAAAGGCTTAAAACAAACCCAAAAAGCACTGTTTAACTCCCTGCCTTTTATAGAAATAATATGCACTAGTTGAGAAAAAAATCTATAAAAACATAAGAAAATAAAAACCAACCATTAAGGGACTCTTAGGGCATAGATAGATTTCATGTGACTGTGAAATCTACATGTAGATATATATATGTACACTTATACGTAAATAATACATTTATTTTAACAAAATCACAAAAGTTTGCTAATGCTATTTTACTCAAACCAAACAATATTTTTTATCAGGTGGTGTGGGTTCTTTAAAGCAGGACACTCACTCAGACCATCTGGTCAACCATCATCGATGCCATGGGTCAATGCAGGCCTTCTTCTAGGCTGTCTTATCTTACAGGCAAAGGGCTATCCACTGGGAGGCTTTCCTTTCCACACAATTCAGGGTCACCCCTGAGTGGACTGAAATGACACTCCCAGTCCCCTCTGGGCTGGTCTAGCAGATGGTCCAAAGCCATCGATGAGTCCAGCTGGGATGTTTTTCTCCCTTTGTCAGCTGCTCATCAGGCCTGCCAGCAACCCTGGGGAGAGGCGGAAGTGACCCTTGTGACCTGTGTACGTGGGATAGTTGTGTGGACTCCTGTGATTTATTTATGCTTCAGGAACTCTTAGGCATGGAACCTTCCAGATTATCCTTCTGTAATGGCTGGGCACTTCTTGGAATTCCAATCTTAGGACCAAGTAGATCAGGTAACAGCCACCTCCTGTGCGACATGTCTGGTTGTTTCATGCCCCCCCAACACACACACACACACACACACACACACACACACACACACTTCTGTTTCCCCAACCGCATCAGTTGTGTTCCCTAACCCAGGTGCAGTGGCAAGCCAGGAGCCGGTGCCCTCTTGGTGATCTGTGGGTCACTCAGCTTCCTGTTTGTTGCTCCTGCCAAGGTGTTCAACGGACTCCCAACAGTCTCCTGAATCATCTTGGGCTTCAAGCACCCTGAATTTCTTCAGCCACAAGTTCCTAGAAACAACACCCACAGCTCTACATACCCACCCAGGCCATCTTTTTTCTGGGCCCAAGAATCAGACAAGGAGAGCAGTTGCTTCATTTGTCAACATGTGTTTTTCCTCGTTTACCTGTCTTCACCTGTTTTTCTCTCCTGCTTTTCACAGATGATCAAAATCAAGGTGAGTGATTACCATCTGATTCCCCCATATAGAACCAGGACTGCCACTCATAGGTCCCCTCTTAACAGACTTTGTTAAGTTATTGATTGAGATTCTGTGGTTTACAATACTAATAATAATGGTTTCTCATGCCCATAATTCCATTACCACTTTGTTCATAAAAATATGACCTGCTGTTTCTTACATCATTCTGCATTGTATATCTTCTCCAGCTGTGAAGAAACTAAATTTGATTTGTACTTATTTACAATGTTCTTTGTGGTATTTTTTTTTTTGAGATTTGATGCTATCAATTGATTTTAACGACTAGTGCTCGTTCTCAAATTCAATAGTGCATTGAAGCTAGAACTGGAATAATAATTACCTTTCAGTCAATTGCAGTGCATCTTCAGATACATTTTTAAGAAGGTCACACACATGATATATGTTTTGTGAGTCCCTGAAGGTACATATTTTGTTTTTCTGATGCCACCATAAAAGAAAAATAGCTTTTTGACTGAGGATAAAAATAGTACACTGAAAGTTTATTACTCCAAATATCTATAATTTCTCCCAGTAGATAATGTAACTCAAAAAACTAAGTCCAGTTTACTAGTTCCATTTGCCTTTTTATCCTTTGTTCAAAGGAAGCTCTTTGTTTGTGTGTGTGTGTGTGTGTGTGTGTGTGTGTGTGTGTGTGTATGTAGAATTGTTCTGTCATCTGTTGGAAGACTTTTACAAATATCTCTTATCTTTTAAAGGATATTTCAAAATTACGAGGAAGTTGGAAAAATGATATTAATGCAGCCAACATTCATGTACAACTTTGGCAGGGATTGGGCACACCTAGCAGTATGCAGAGACCACACCTGGCAGTTCTGGAGGACTAAGTACAGTTCCAGGATTTGGACCATCGCTATGGGGCAGTCACATCGAGGCAAGTGTCTCTGTACTATCTCTCTGGCTCTCATCCATGCACATTTTGCAGACTGTTGGATCACTGATGTTTGATCCTTTTTTTGTCTTTGGTCTCAACACACACACACACACACACACACCCCACACACATATATACATACATACATACATGAGCACGAATCCATCTACACATACAACTTTCCGATCTGTCCAAGACCAAGTTATTTACTTTTTATTCCTAAATGCTTAGGTGCAGATTTAGTAGGATGAGGGAGAGTTTGTTTCCAACATCGATTAATTTTCAACCCTAAAAATAATCTTTTTAAATCTTTCCCTATATTGTTAGTTGGTCCATGTATGTCCTTTATAGCCTGTATTGTTTCTTTTAAATTTTTTTCTTTTGTTTTTTTGTCCACACCCAGTGGTGTCTGGGGATTACTTCTGGCTCCATGCTCATAAATCGCTTCTGGTGGTGCTCATGGGGCCAGAGGGGGTACTGGGAATCGAACTTGGATTGGCCACACGTAAGGCAAGTGCCCTACCCACTGCATTTCCTCTACAGCTCTACCAATGTTTTTCTACAGCCTGGTCTCCGGGCAACATCAAATAATCAGTCTAGTTACTGGTTCTCTTCTACCTGCTTAAATCTGGGCTATTTCCATAGCCTTGCATCTCTGTTGTGAAATACATATTTCAAACATATATCGTGCCCCCCTTTATAATGGACAACCCCTCACTCAGGATTTTCTGATGTCTTCTCGTGATCAGATTTAACTTCTCTAGGACTGCCCAGATGACTGCATGTATGATTTGTGTCCTTTTAAGGCAGCTCACTTAGAGACATACGGCTCCCACCCTTTAGTGGTGATGCTAATTTTAATCACCCGGTCAAGGTGCTATCTATTTTTTTCAATGCTTAATGAAAATTTCCCCTTGTTACTCATAAACAGTTAGTACACAGCCAATTTAAGCTATATAGATTTCTTAGTTCTCATAAACACCCCCCAGTCCTACCCCCCATATGTGATTCCTGCCTGAAATAGTCTTTACTGTAGTACTGTAGCACTGTCCTCCCATTGTTCATTGATTTGCTCGAGCGGGTACCCGTAACGTCTCACAACAAATTGTGAGACTTGTTGTTACTGTTTTTGGCATATTAAATATGTCATGGGATAGTATTTTGCTGTGCGGGCAAGATACTATCTTGCTGGGCTCTCTGAGAGGTGCGAAGGAATTGAACCTGGGTCAGCCATGTCAGCCACGTGCAAGGCAAGCGCCTTACCCACTGTACTATTTGAAAAACACTCATTTTATTTATTTATTTATTTATTTATTTATTTATTTTTAGTGAAAAACCATGAGGTACAGTTGTAGACTTACAAACTTTCGTGCTTGGGTTTCAGTTATACAATGATCAAGTACCCATCCCTCTACCAGTGCCCATTCTCCACCACCAATGATCCCACCCTCTACCCCATTCCCCCCACCCCACCTCTGTGTCAGGGCATTCTCTTTGCCCACTCTTTCCTTTACGGTGTTGTAGTTTGCAATAGAGGTATTGAGTGGCCATTGTGTTCTGTTTATAGTCTACTTTCAGCACATATCTCACATCCCGAGCGAGTCCTCCAAACATCCTTTACTTGGTGTTCCCTTCTATATCTGAGCTGCTTTTCCCCCCAGCATGTGCTTCTGGCTTCCAAGCCATGGAGCAGACCTCCTGGTACTTATCTCAACTATTCTTGGGTGTTTGACTCCCATTCTGTTACTTTATATTCCCCAGATGAGTGCAGTCTTTCTATGTCTGTCCCTCTTTTTTCTGGCTCATTTCACTTAGCATGATATTTTCCATGTAGAACCACTTGTATGTAAATTTAATGACTTCATCTTTTCTAACAGCTGCATAATATTCCATTGTGTAGATGTCCCAAAGTTTCTTTACCCAGTCATCTGTTCTCGGGCACTCGGGTTTTTTTCCAAATTTTGGCTATTGTGAACAGTGCAGCAATGAACATAGAAGTGCAGATGTCATTTCAACTGTATTTTTTTTGCCTCTCTGGGATATATTCCCAGGAGTGGTATTGCTGGGGCAAATGGGAGCTCAATTTCTAATTTTTGGAGAATCATCCACACTGTTTTCCAAAAGGGCTGAACCAGTTGGCATTCCCACCAGCAGTGAAGGAGGGTCCCCTTTTTGCCACATCCACACCAACACCAGTTGCATTTGTTCTTTTGGATGTGGGCCAGTCTCTGTGGTGTGAGATGATATTTCATTGTTATTTTGATCTGCATCTCCCTGATGATTAAAACACCAATTTTATATCTCTAGCACCCTCTCTCCACATACTAGTTAGCACAGCATCTGCTAAAAAGTTCCTCTGCTACTTACCTATCTTATCTATCTCCTCTCATTGATCCACATCTAATGTTATCTTATTTTTCAAAAATATTTAGAGATTATTACTTTAATTTGATGTCCAGATTGTCCTAAATTTGGCTAAAGAAAATCACTTCAAGATAGCTAGAGTTCAAATGTACAAGTGTTTTTATTGTTCACAATCACAATCATCCTGTTATTCGTCGATTGCCTCGAGCAGGCCCCAATAACGTCTCTTCGTCCTAGCCCTGAGATTTTTTTTTAGAAAGTGCCATATTCAAGGCTCTTTCAGAGTTAGGAGAATGAGCCCCTTCATTGTTACTGGTATTTGGCATATTGGGTACGCCACGGGGAGTTTGCCAGACTCTGCCATGTGGGCAGGTTACTTTCGGTAGCCTGCCAGTTTGTCTAAAGTAGGAATGAGATGATAAGATGTCGTGCGGCCGCGAATGCAGCCACGTGCTTGCGGGAGCTGGGTTTTATAGTCCCTGAATCTTAGCCGTTGATGGGATTACATGGCGCCAGGGGGCCAGTTGGTGGGTGTGACCCCCACCTACTGGAATTTGGAGGATCTGGGTGGAGGATGCTCAGCCCCAATCCGAGTAGGCTTGGAGATCTCGGCCCCAGAACCCGCGTGGCTTTGTCCCTCTGCCAGTACCTTCATGTGTGCGGAGAGTGGTCTCAGCATGGTGGTGGCTGGTTCTGAAGGTCTTCGGCTGCTGGAGCCCTGGTTGGGGCGGGAAGGAAAACTCAACCGGCTCCCCTCCAAGGGGCCCCCGGCGAGGACAGCCAGGCGCAGGGGCAGGAGACTCTGTTTTTATTGTTGGGTATGTGATATTGTTACTACAGCCTTGAAAATTCTCTTACATGATTCTGTAAATTAACCAACCTGACAGGTACGCACAGGATGCTTCACCAACAACTGTAGGAGACATGTTCTTCTCCAGTGCATGTGGAACATTTCCCACAATAGGCCGCAAAACAGGGCTCGACTATGTTTTATTTATATTTTTAAAAATTAGTGAAGAAATTTTGATTTGATAATTAAAGCCACACAACAATGTACCATAGACTACAACTAGAAATCAGTCACAGAGGAAAATTTAAAAATTCACAAATACATTAAAATTAAACAATATACAATTGAAGCCTGTAGCTATAATATAGCCTGTGTTATAGCATGATTAAACATATAATGGATAAATGCAGCCTATCACTGAAAGACAAAATCACAAAGAAAATTAGAAAAAAAATGTTAAGCAAATGAAAGTGAAACCCCAGAAAATGACATTTCATGGGATGCAATGAAAGCAGTACTCAGGGTAGACTGTAGCAGCACAGATATGCATTTAAAAAGAATAGCCATCTCAAATCAATGAACTGACTTTGAGACATTGCACCAAAACTATAGCTAGAAGAAGGAAGGAATAATGAGGTTGAGAGGGAAAACATGGAGTGGAGGAAAGAAAAATAAGAGAATCAATCCATGAAACCAAAACTTGGTTCTTTAATAAAGACCAACAAACTTGAGGCTCAGATATGAATGTATTTTGAGGTGAAAGGGTCATCTCCTTAGAGGTTGATGTTGAGAAAACACCAGATCCAGAATTGGACTCCATGGTTTTGGAGCTGAGCAGCGGAAGGGTTGGTACATGTGGAGGTTAAGATGTCATCTGAGTGACATTCAGGGGTCAAATGAGCTGTCAGTGTAGAGCTTAGAGGGGACAGGGGTGTAGAAAGAAACATGGCTTCGGCAGTGTATACAAGTCGTTTATCTAATTTATAAGTAGGGAAAATGTTTAAACAATCATGAGAAATACTCAAGAATTCTTACAATGTGAGACACTTTCACCTATAAACTATTTCAAGTGGATAAATGATTTGTGAATTCCGCACTGAACATGGACATAGTGCTAGTTGTTATAACTATGATGGGCTGGATTGTGTCTCTGGAAAAAGTCACACGTTGAAATTAGAACGCCTAACATTTCGTAATGTGATTCTTTAGGGATGGGGATTTTACACAGGAAATTAAGGCCAAATAAGATCGAATGAGGCAGCCAGTCAGGGTGCTTTTCAGAAGACACTGGACACAGGTATGTATACAGGGAAGACTAAGGAAGACCCAGGGCAGAAACGGTCATCTGTAGGTCAAGGAGAAAGTTTCAGAGGAAACCCAACCTGCTGGCCGCTTCACCTTGAACTCGGAGCCTGCAGAGAAGGGAAAACACTCTTCCCTGCACTTCTGCTACCCAATCCGTGATTCTTTGTCAGGGATGAGTGAACGAATCCAGAAGCTCTGTCAGTGACCTGAATTCAGTACAGTCATATCATTTTGTTTTTTATGTTTCTGGTCATGGTTTTTCCTCCTCACTTCTCAGTGTTTGGTGAAAAATAGCCAGCCTGGGTCTGGTGTCTGAGGCTGAAAGGGCGCTGATGGTTTGATAACTGAAAGAAGGTTTGTACACAAGGCCAGAAGTATACTCTGTCCTCCCAAGAGAATGGAACATCCTGGATTGATGCATATCTGAAGCGACAAGACCTTCATGTTTTCAAGGTCCGCCTGTTCACTTTCATCCTGTATGGGTGTTGGCTTTCAGAGAGAGAGAGAGAGAGAGAGAGAGAGAGAGAGAGAGAGAGAGAGAGAGAGAGCGCCAGCCCAGACAATGAAAGCTCCATCGCTTTGAGAGTAAGGTGCAATTGGCATGGTTTTGGTTTGTGGTCTTTTAACCTGAGGCTTAAAAAAATCATCAGTGGCATCAAATATCATTTATGACCCCCCAATGGACTGTGTGCCCCCGTGGATTTAAACTGGGGAGCAGCAAGGCACTGCACCAACAGTAGGTCTCATGTGGTACAATTAGGCTTCCCTGCCCTGGGAATAGGGAGGTGGGGGCAAGTTTCTGTCTGTTAATTCCTTACAGTAAACCTGAGCCATTCATTCAGTGTTGGAGAACAATGAGACGGTGTGTGGTCAGCTGGGATCTGAGCCCCAGAATGGACATGCAAGGATCTGAGGGTCCAGAAAAGCGGCAACATGGGATAGTCCTTTAAATAAAGATGAAAAGGGGACAAAGAGAGAGTACAATGGGTAAGCTACTTGTCTTGCATGCGACTGACCCTGGTTTGATCTCCATCATTTCGTAGGGTACCCCGAGCACAGTATACCTTGAACACTGCTATGTACGGCCCCAAAACTAACAAACAAACAAGCAAACAAACAAACACTGTCCTCCCGTTGTTCATCGATTTGTTCGAGTGGGCCCAGTAACGTCTCCATTTTTTTTTTTAACTTGTTGTTACTGTTTGGCATATAAAATACGTCATGGGTAGCTTGCCAGGTTTTGCCGCACAGACAAGATACTCTCGGTAGCTTGCCAGGCTCTCCGAGAGGGATGGAGGAATCAAACCCGGCTCAGCTGGCCTGGCTGCGCGCAAGGCAAATGCCCTACCGCTGTGCTATCACCCCAGCCCTAAGACTAAATAAATATGTAAAGTTTCCATCCTCACCCAGAGATCAGGTTGAGAAAGGAAGAAGGTGTTTGTGTTGAGGGGTCAGAGGTGGTAGGACTCACCAGTGAAGTCTCAGCTCCTGGGACTAGAACTTTCCCCGGAACCCATGAGAACTGGACACATCAGGGCTTTTGGTTTTTTCCCAAAACAAAACCCTGTTTTGTTTTTTGTTTTTGCATTCAGCTCTATTTTATTATTGTATTTATTTATTGGGCTGGAGCGATAGCACATGGTAGGGCGTTTGCCTTGCACGCAGCCAACATGGCCGACCCAAGTTCGATTCCTCCGCCCCTCTCGGAAAGCCCGGCAAGCTACCGAGAGTATCTCGCCCGCACGGCAGAGCCTGGCAAGCTCCCCGTGACGTATTCGATATGCCAAACACAGTAACAACAAAGTCTCCAATGGAGACGTTACAGGGCCCGCTCGAGCAAATCGACGAACAACGGGAGGGCCTTTACCTTTTACCTTATTTATTTATTGGAGGCGGGGGGCTTCAGTTCTCCGAGAAAGGAAGATCCAGCAAGGCAAGACCCCAGCCCCTTTCTGCCTCATAAACCACACCCTCCAATTCCCAGGTTCCAGCTGACAGGTGTTCTCCCCTGCCCCCTCTCCAAATAAAACAATCACTTCCTCCAGAATAGACTGGCGCCATTTGATCCCAGACTGGAGCCTGTCCATTGACAGCATCCTGGAAAGCTTGGCTCACCCACTCCGTGGCTCAGCATCTGAGGGCCCGGGCTCACAGACACCCATCAATCGATCTGGAGGTCAGGAAGGAAAAAGTATGGTGAGAAGAGCTCTGGGATACAGACCCCTGGGGCCGCCCCAGAGAGGAGCTCTGCCTGTTCTTCCCCTACCTGCCCTCTTTCTGCATTTTGATCCTTGAGCTGGTAATTTGACCCTGAAACTCAGTGGCCTTCTTGCAGAAATGTTGAGGGAAACTGGGCATTTGGTTTTGAATGGGTTTTCTTGGGGGGAAGTAGGGCATCTGGCGAGGCAGCACCCCCATCTCCACGTGACCCAGTGACCCTCCACTCCCCAATCCGAGCCAGGGCTCTCATTGGGGTAGAAAAAGCCCACACTGGCCCTAGAGCCAGTGGGGTGGGCATGGGGGGGGGTCGGTTCCTTCTTTCTTGCTGGAGATTTGTGCTGGGCCCGGCCCTTCACATCTCAGCCTATCTGTTGTCGTTGGCTTTCTGGAGCCCATGCCAAGAGGTATCATATTCTAATCCCCCTCCACCCCATCCCTTCAGCACCACACCCACCCGTGCCTAAACTTGCCATCATCCGAACAGAAGCTCCAGAACCCAACACGCAGCTTTCTCACTGCTGTACCCAACATGATATTTTTCCCCCAGCACCAGAGAGCTGATGGGCTCTCACGTGTCAGCAAGCAGCACCGCTTGGTCTTTGGCGAACCTTCCTTCTCACTCCCAAAGCTTTTGCTTGGGCGTTCAGGTCATGCTGGTGGGACCTTGTCCCATTGCTCCAACCTTAAAGCAGACCCAGACCATCCCTTGGAAGTGAACGGGACCCAGAATTTACGCTTGACCCAGCAGGGGAAGGAATAGAACCCATCTTCTCGTCATTTCTAAGTGAAAAAAAAAAATCCATCTCTGTTGGATTTTTTTCATCTTCTCTTTTTTAAAGGAGAACCTTAAGTCTTCTTGGGTGTTTGAGTATGACTGAGGATCAATCTCGGTTTCCTCTGACACTTTTCTCTTGTACCATTTCCTGTTTCAGATTTATTTGGGGGTGGGGGTGGGGAGGGAGGGGGCGGGGCAATGGAAATGGCCACCTGACCCTCAAACGAGAAGTCAGCGTAGCACAAAACATTCATCAGAGGTGACTTGTCTGTCCGTGGGAATGAAGGGAGGTCCTGGATTCAGAGTTTTCTTCTCTTTCTTCCTAGAAAGAGTGGCTCTTCAGGAGCACCCACAACAGACTCTTAACCCCACGTGTCTTTTTTCATCTTTGTGTCTTTTTGTCCAAACAAACAAAGGTCTTTGACTCTATGTTTAATTTCTACATGGGGAAACCAACGACAAGGCCCTTCGTAGGGATTTTTGCTATTTTTTTTTTAAATGGGGAAGGTAAGATATAGTACAGAGTTATAAGGCAATTGCCTTGTATTGTGGCTGACCCCCCCTCCCCACTCTACCCCTTTTCTATAGTGGTTCTACCATTATTAGGGAGTGATTCCTGAGCATAGAGCCAGGACTAAGTTCTAAGCACCCACTGGTTGTGCCAAAAAACAAAATTTTTTTTTAAAGATATTTGGGCTCCACAGTGGTGCTCAGGAGTGGCTCCTGGCAATGCTCAGGGCACCCTGTGGTGCTGGGGATCGAACCCGAACCGCCTGCCTACAGAACATGTGTTCAAGCCTTTAAGCCATCTGTATGTGTATGTGTGTGTGTGTGTGTGTGTGTGTGTTTCTTTCCAGTGATGACAGTTCCCCGGTGAGTCTTCACAATCATTTCCAACCTGGCCCTGTCTAAACTTGTATCTGGCATCTTTGGTATTTAATGGTGTCACTGATACCTCAGTACTTCCAACACAAGTGTCAGACTCCAGAAGATGCTTTGGCATCCTCATTGTCGCTGTTCATGTGAATCTTCTTCCAGCCAGGAGCAAGGCCATTAATATTGCTATCTTCTTGCGGGGCCCAAGTGGGGGCTGCCAGTGAAAAATGTTCCACTCTGCACACATGGGTTCAAATATGGGCTCTGCCATTCCACAACACCGCCCCCCCCCGCCACGCCCCAGGATTTGGGGATTAACGGTCACACCAAGACACAGCAGATAGGCAGAGAGTCCTCTCCCCAGTAGAGGACCAAAGCGAACAGCCAACCATGTCTTGAGGTTTGTTCTACACCATTTTTCAAGAGTGAGCAGAAACCAGGGCTTTAAATCGGATTAAGACTGTTTATGCTATAAAGGAAATCAGCGGCCGGCACCAATGGTTAGAAGAGAACCATTTGGAGCTTAGAGTTAGAAGTTGTTGTTGTCGCTGTTCATCTTCCTACAAATTGCCTCTCAGAGTGTGTGTCTGGCTTGGTCATTGAGGGCAGCGCACAGAATAGAAACGCATGTGCACATGTTGTCCTCTGAGAGGCAGAGAAGGAGCAGAGGAGGGGGACCAGACTGTCAATCCAGACTCTCAGGTGGAGTCTTAGACACTGGTTTTCAGGGTTTCTGCAACAGGTAGGCCTTTCCAGAGATGGAAAGCTAACACATCCAACCTTTTTTCCATTTGCAACTTCTCTCAAGGCAAGTCAACAATCTCAGGAGATCCTGCCTCCAACTGGAGGGCACCATGCCCGCCACTCACGTCTGCATTGAGCAATGCTCTGCATTCAACATCCTTTGGGCCCCGATTGCTACCCACCTGGTCCTGATTTGCTGCTTTCTTAACCATATCCCCCCCACCTGTTTCTCAGTTCTGGATCCTATTTTTACTCAATGGTCAAGTCATGCCCATCAAGTTACCTCTGAAGCGCCAGCCTGCCCCATGCCAAACTTTGTCAAGTCCTCTCTCCATGAATGCCATCTATCATCAGTTGCTTTTGTGTTTGGTTCTGTTTTTCACATTTTCAAGATTTAATTAAAGCACCATGATTTTCGAAGTTATTCATAGCTGCACTTTAGACCTACAATATTGGAATACCGATCCCACCACTCAGTTGCTTTTTGGAAGTCATGCCTTCCTCTCTTTCCTCTCGTAACTGCCCCAGGTTGACTTTAATTGCATGACTAATCTCCAAACCCAGTCTCGTTTATGGAAGGGAAGTTTACACGACTTATACAAACTCTTAACACGACATATACAAACTCGCAGACTGGGTTGGAAGGGGGCAGGAAGCAAATGCCTTTTCTGAATCTTTTCAAAGGACAGCGAGCCCTAGTGCAGGCAGGAGGAAGGGGTAATGGAGTCCTATAAGGACTCTGATTTATATTACGCAGCCTGGCTTGGCTCTCGAAGGCAGAGGGGTGAGGGGGTTCTGGCGTCGGGCAGTGATAAGGTCTGAAGTGACTCGGCAATGTCGGGTCTCTGAAAGCCCCAACTTTGATGAGAGTATGAGTATATTCTGGGCTCGAATAGATCATGTCTAGTCGATAATACTGTGTTGAAATTTTTCCCAGATGCACTTCAGTGTTCTTGCCAAAATAATACAGCAAGCATGGAGGCTGATGAGTGTGTTGCTGAACCCAATGAGAGGAATGTGTTTGCAGTGGAGCCTGACATCAAATCATTGCATTGTATGCTTTGTCCCTGCATATTCCTCTGCTGGAACGGTGAAATGTGTGGATATTCTGTTTTATTTTGTATTTGGGCCCCACCAGCGGTGCTCAGGGATTACTCCTGGCTCAAGTGCAGACTCAAGAATCACTCCTGGGAGCGGGGGGGGGGTGGGGGGAGGATGTGAGATTAACACCCGCCCAAACACAACCCTGGAAGCTGAAAACCTTCACACCCCACAGTCGCTGCCATGCTCACAGCCAGACCCCACTGCTCGAGATGAGCCTCATCCAGAAATTAATCTGCTAAAAACACAGGTATGCAGTTTTTGTGACTGAAATCTTCAGGCTCTCAAGGAATCAGGGATGGGCAACCTCCTCCCATATCCCTATTCTTCCGGAAGCCTCCCATGAACTGCCTCTAGCACCAAATATGCTCATTAACCGGCCATGATTCTGAGACTCATATATAAAATCTTGAAAGAGATTAACAAGTTGCAGAGATGCTTCTGGACCCAATACCAAACTGAGTCATTCAGGGTACCCGAAGTTCCCATCCAGTTAAAACTTTGACTTCTATTGTATCACCCCATTCAAAATTTTTAAATTCCTGGAGCACAGTCACACTTGTGACTGTGCAACATCTCAAACTATACATCATTTATAAACCACGAGTAGCACACCAGATTGGATGGGATATAAAGTGGAAGGCAACCATTCTCGATTAACAAGATATAAACGCACAAGGTTTACTGGTAACAACATGTTAGTAATCTCTTATGCAAGGGCTTAAGGGCTCCATGGTGTGATACAACAATCTTCTAAGAAAACATTTTTGATACTTTTTAGCAAATTATTATTTATAACAAGCAATATAAAATGAATTACTCAGGGCCTGCTATAGAGGCAGGCTTGAGGGGTAGTTGGGAAAATTGGAAATAGTGGTGGTGGGAAGGTGCAATGGTGGAAGGATTGGTGTTGGAATATTGAATGTAACAAATCATCTTAAACATCTTAAACTTATATGAAAAATAAAATATCTTAAAAAACAAAATAAAATGCTTACTAAAAAATCCTGGTGTTGCTCAGTTCCTACGTGTACTTGAAGTCCATACTTGCACATGGCTATGGTGCCTGTTGGCCCCTTCCGGAGAGTTGAGAGGTGTGGAGAAAGACAGTGAGCAGACAGTTAAGGGGTGAAAGCTTGGATAAGAAGAGGCACTAGACTGGGCTGTTCCATGGGGTCTTGGAAAGACTGAGCCCCCCTCACCCCCAGATGATAGGATCCTAGTGTAGGGGGCAAACTCATGCCAGGGACCAAAACTCACCTCCTGAAAATTGGGGTTACAGTGTAGCTGGGCAAGTGCTACTGGTTTCCGGCTCTCCCAAACCAAATGTCGAAGGCAGAGGGCATCTGTGTGCTCTCCTCCCTGTTCTGTGGAGGAGCGAGTGTGAGCCAGCAAATGCTTCAGCTTTCGGGCATTTGGGCACTAGGTAAACGGCCTTTGTCTGGGCTGAAATGCTGAAGTCACTGAAACATTGACGCTTCCTTTGCTCCCCTCCAAGGTGGGGTTTGGAAGGAGGACTCCTCAATGGGGGGAGCTCACTCCACCAGTGACTGACTTTGTCCACTCATGGCAGGATCCCTGTGCAGTGGGAACAGCGTGACACCCCACAGGCCAGGAGAGATCAAGGTGCTCAGGAACTTGGCCAAAGTTGCTTTGGCGTGAGTGGCAGGGTCAGGAGATCCTAAATCAAGAGCCATGGCTAAACACCAAAGAGAGTATTTGTAATTGTGATGCCTGGTTACTCTGTGCTCTTATTCTTCTCAAATCAGTTATGTTTATCGTTGTAGGTGATGAGAGAGGACACTTCAAAAGTGATCACTGGGCCGAGTCTGTCAAACAGAGGCTTAAGTACATCCTCCCTCTCAGGAGACAAGACGGACAGGTGCAGGAGCAGAGCCCACTCGGAGCTTTGATTGATTTCTTCTACCGGAAGGGAAATTGTGCTTATTCATCTCCACTTAGAGTGAGTTTTGAGTGTCTTGTGTACAACAGTCCTTCTTGTGCCAAACGGGGTGTTTGGAAGTGTCGCTTTGTGAAGTTTAGAGTTTAGAGCTGAGGGCAGGTTGTACAGAAGAGTGGAGGAAGATGAGGAAACAAACAAAAAAGTCTGAGACCATCCAGTGAATGTGCTCATTTTTGTTTCAAAGCATGTCTACTATTATACCTCTATAAGAAAATTATCAAAACAAAATTCAAGTAAAGCCTAACTACTCTATATTCAGCTGGAGCGATAGCACAGCGGGTAGGGCGTTCGCCTTACAAGCGGCCAACATGGCCGACCCGAGTTCGATTCCTCCGCCCCTCTCGGAGAGCCCGGCAAGCTACCGAGAGTATTGGATATGCCAGACACAGTAACAACAAAGTCTCCAATGGAGACGTTACTGGGCCCGCTCGAGCAAATCGACGATCAACGGGAGGGCCTTTACTTCAAAAGTGATCGCTGGGGGGCTGGAGCAATAGCTCAGCGCATAGGGCACTTGCCTTGCACGCAGCCAACCCGGGTTCGATTCCCAGCATCCCATATGGTCCCCTGAGCACCGTCAGGGGTAATTCCTGAGTGCAGAGCCAGGAGTAACCCCTGTGCATCACCAGGTGTGACCCAAAAAGCAAAAAAAGTGATCGCTGGGCTGAGAGAATGATTGGGTAATGATTTACAGAATGGCTGTATTGCTCATGACAGTATGTGTATGCACATGTGCATGCTATCATGTAGTCATCCCTATGTAACTGATGCCTTCAGTTCCCGGGAACACATGTGTCTGACAGGATTCCAGGAGCTAGGTGCTTGTAGTTTTCAGGGCACTGCAATGGTTTTACAAGTTCTGAAAAAGAAACTTGCTTCCCCTTGGACTTTTTTCTTGTTCACTTTTTCAAACCAATAGCACTACCAAAGGTGTGTTAGCTTCGTTTTGGAGAAAATAGAAAAGGCTGTTGGTATTTAAGCATGGGAATCAAAATGCTTGGCTGTCTTGACCCAATCAATGGCTCCCTCCCATTGCAGTTCAGATGGGCAGAGTTGTTCAGTGTTTCTGAAAGTCCAGGGGCTCTGTCTTTCCTTACCCTCCCCCTGTCCAACTAGTTCTAGGTGACTGAGATCTGTCAAAGAGATATGAGCAACACCTACACACACACACACACACAACACACACACACACACACACACACACCATAAGCATGCAAGTCAGAGCCCTGGGGAAGCTCTCTGGTCTGTCCTTCACAGTCCTGCTCATTTCACAAGCTGCAGCACAAATTGTGGTGCCGCCATCCTCCTGGCACCCTGCATTTCAAGGTACATAAAGCCCCTCATTGGCCCGTGCTGGGCAGGTAATATGAGGAAGAAACAAGTTGTTGCTTGCTTTAAGCTTCTGAGATTTGGGGCCTAGTGTGTTATACTAGCATGGCCCCTGCCAGTGTCATCACCACCCGTGGGAATGCATGTAAGTGGCTCGGGACCTAACCAGAGGCCTGACTGACTTTGGGCCATCGCTGAAAGCAAATGGGAACGTCACCCATTTCTCTACACCCAGAGGGCCAGGATTGTGATCACCCAGACTCGGAGATTTTCCCAACCAATAACTGTTCAAAATAAAAATCAAAAGATCTGAAGGATAAGGTGCCTGCCTTGTAGGTAGATGACCCCAGTTTGACCCTTGCACTGCATAGGACCCCCAAGCACTGTCAGGAGTAATCCCCAAACATAGCTGGGTGTAACTCCCAAAACAAAACAAACAAAAAGAGACCAACAAAAAGCAAAGCATTAAATGCCCCCACCTGCTCCAATCATGTCTTTTCCAACAGTCTCCTCAGCCTTTCCTAGTCAGCTGCGTGTCTTCTGAGTTCTTGGCCTAATGAGTTGAATCACTGAGACTGGGGCTCCTAAAGTAAGAGCCAGGAGAAAATGGCGGGTGTTCTGAGAGTTTCTCAGAAGAGCTCAGACGCTGTGTTTGGTCCTTGACAGCTGTGGGCACTGTTAACACTAAGTCAACACTGTTGACACTGGTTCTCAGCAGTTTTCCACAGCGGGGGATTGAGGGAGTGTGAGGGTGAGGGCTACTGACAGTATTGGTATTTGCCCTTAGACCTACGCAACTATCTGGGTGCCACACTGTTCTTGAAAAATTCAGTCAAATCTTCAAGACAACCCAACTGAGTCACAAAGGCTCCTGGAGTTGACTGTGCTGGGTCCCCAGAGGTGTGGCCGAACCCCAGGCTGCTGGTGCCTTCTTTGCTGCTACCGGAGGTGGGGCCTCCTCTCCTGGGAACATTCTGGGTCTTCTCAGCTCTGCCATAGTGTGTCCTTTCTAGTGGGTTTGAAAGGTCTCATCCCAAACCTCTCACCCAGAATGTTGCAATAAATGTGCTCCCTCATCCTCATTATTATGCCATCCTGAGGAGAAAGGGCAGAGGTCAAGTTCTTTCTTGAACTTTCTTGAGCTACAGTTTTGTTCAAGGGCTGAAAGCTTATTTCTGCACCATCTGAAGCAGTTTTCAGTCTGAAGTAGGCCCTACCAGCTTTCTTGGTTGCCCATCACCACCGCCCCCCTCCCCAGTAGCACATTTCAGAAGGTGAAATATAAATAGTTACTTGTTCAGTGTCGCCCGGAGGTGCCAGACCCAGCCTCTGCCATAGTCTCCATCAGTGTTCACTGTTGTGGCAAAGATAGCAGAGATCTGGAAATGTGCCACACACACTATTTCTGTTGATTCCTATCCGTTTCATCCCCAATCGTGTTCTCTTAAGATGACTGATTTCTTTTTATTTAATTTTTATTTATTTATTTATTTTGAATACCCATTCCTCCATCAGTGACCATTTCCCACCACCACGGATCCCAGTATCCCTCCCCCCCCACCCCCCATCCCACCCTGCCTTTGTGGCAGGGCATTCCCTTTTGTTCTCTCTCTCCTGTGATTTGTCACGGTCACGATCCTCCCGTTGGTCATCGATTTGCTCGAGCAGGCCCAGTAACGTCTCCTTCGTGAGGCTTGTTGTTACCGTGTTTGACATATTGAATACATCACGGGTAGCTTGCCAGGCTCTGCCGTGATTGTGGTTTGTAAAAGAGTTAAACCTGATTTTCAGGGAGAAACGTTGGATGATTTACTTTCCATTGATCACTTTGTGTATAAGGAGATGGAGTAAAAGTCCTGGTTCCCGCATGCCCGAGCTATGCTTGTAGAGGCTCATGGTCACTGGGGTTCCATCTGGAGAAGGCGGGATGCAGCACCTACCGCATCTGGGACTTCCCGGTGATCTCGGCTCTGTTTGGGACCTGGAGCATTCTCTGGGAGCTGTGGAGCCTCCCAGCGGCCTTTCTTTTCTGTTGCTGTGTACTGTAAAGATGGCGCTGGGGGGCGGGTTGTGGGCGTCTTAAGATGACTGATTTCTGGGTGATTTTTTTATTCCCCACCAAAGTGGGTACATTTTCAGTTTCTTTTTTTTTTAATATAGTTTGTATACATACAAGGACCTTAGTTACCTGTTCTTTTTTTTTTTTTCTTAAATTTTTTTATTGATTGAATCACCAGGAGAACAGTCACAAAGCCTCTCAGTTTAACTCTTGGTCGGTCATACCATGATCAAACACCCATCCCTTCATCAGTGCACATTTTCCACCACCAAGAACCTCAGTATATTCCCCTCCCACACCTCCCCCTGCCTGTGTGGCAGATTTCCACTTTACTCTCTTTCTACATTGATCATATTCAATATTACAACAAAAGACCACAATTATTATTTGGAATTTTCCGCAACAATCAGACCTGCAAAAAGACATCATTAGATAATTTATTTTCTATTGCTGATTATGAAGGGCATATGATGTTGCGCGGCCACTATCGTGGCCATGGGATTTGGGATTTCTGATATTTTAGTAATAACTATAGAGCGATTACTGCCAAAAGCCGCTGGGTTCTGAGATTGGTTTGTATGCCTCTGGGATCATGGTCGTTCAGGAGCTGGAGGAGGCATTCGTGGGTGGCAACTCGGGGCTTTGTCAGGGTGGGAAGCAGGGCTGGTTCCACCCCCTATCTCATGAGGCCCCACTTGCCTCATCGCTACAGTCTCATACCTGGCTGTTCGTTAGGCTCTGAAAGATGGTGGCCACCATGCCGCTGCTGCCAGGGGGAAAAGGCGGAGGAACAAACACCCATCCACTCCGGGGATGGCACAGTGCATAGTTTAATGTACAGTCCAGATGCATTTCTGCCAAAAGCTGGTGGTATCTGAGATTGGTTTCTGTGCCTCAGGGATCATGGCCATTCAGGAGCTGAAGGAGGCATTTATGGGTGGCAGCTTGGGGCCTCGTCAGGGTGGGGAGAAGGGCTGGTTCCGACCCCCATCCCATGAGGTCCCACATGCCTCGTCACTGTAGTCTCATACCTGGCTGTCCATTAGGCTCTGAAAGATGGTGGCCACCGTGCCACCACCACCACCAGGGGGAAAAGGTGGAAGGACAAATACCCTCCCCCTCCATGGGCGGCAATGTGCCATTGTTTAATGCACATGCATTTTGGTTGGGCATTATATTCTGCATTTCAGTTGTGCGTTATATTTTGCTCGAATTTTCCCACTACCATTCAAGTCTGCCTTCCAGGGACAGATGCTAGATCATTTACTTTCCACTGCTCACTGTGCATACCAGGAAAGGTCGTACGGCCGCATAAGCAGCTGCATGGTTCAGAAGAATACTCCTGGTGCCCACATATCGGAGCCATGCTTGTAGAAGCTCATGGTTGCTGGGATTCCATCTGGAGAAGGCGGGGAGACTGCACCTGTCCCATCTGGGACCTCCTGGTGATATTGGCTCAGTATGGGGCCTGGAGAATTCTCTGGGTGTTGTGGTGCCCGCCGGCCAGGTTTCTTCACTGCTGT